ATTTTTTTTTTAAAAATTAAAAAAAAAAAACCCAAAAAACTTTACACCTGCAGTGAACACCAATTGTTTAATTCATTGTGCAGGAGATCCAGTAACAGTAACAGCTTTATAAATATCACTTTGCATCCTAGGCAATCCAACTAAGACTACATCATTTATTCATAACTATTTTGTTGCTTAAATGTTTAAAAAGTATGTTACTGGGAAATTCGGGAGAGAAAATGAGCAAGGGAATTTGCAGAATTTTTTTCCAATTCTAAATATACAGACTGGTGCGTCTAGAATAATAATTTTTAGGGGTGCCTAGGTGCTCAGTTAGTTGAGCGTCAACTTTGGATCAGGTCATGATTTCACAGTTCCAGAGTTTGAGCCCCACACCAGGTTCTGTGTTGATAACTCCGAGCCTGGAGCCTGCTTCGCATTCTGTATCTCCCTCTCTCTTTGCCCCTCCCCTGCTTGCACTCTGTCTCTCTCCCCAACAAAACAAAACAAAAACAAAAACAAAAAATTTTAGAATAACTTTTATATTGTGTGTGGGGTTTTTTTTGTTTGTTTTTGTTTTTTTTTTAAGAATGAGAGAGCAGTAGCTCACACAAACAGGGGAGGGACAGAAGGAGAGGGAGTGAGAGAATCTTAAGCAGGTTCCACTTCCATCACAGAGCCAGATGTGGGGCTTGGTCTCACAACCATGAGATCATGACCTTAAGATCATGTCCTGAGCTGAAATCAAGAGTCGAATGCTTAACCAACTGAGCCACCCAGGGGCCCCTTATATTGGCTTTTGAATAAGTTGTATTAATATAGAATGAATTCACTAACAAGATACTGTTTTTAAGGACAAATATCTATTGAGGAAAAAAACAGAAATTTCTCTTAGTTTAAAATTTTGGAAGAATATTATCAAGATTGTGAGTAATTTGAGATAACAATACTTTCTGAACATTATTCTGAAAGGAAACTTTTGTTTGTATTTTTATGATAACATTTATCTAGAGGAGAAAAATTAGAAAAGTTTTTCTGAACACATGGTAAGTTGAAGAGCCTCTTTTGGTTATATATATTTTATGATGAATTATAGATTCTATTTTATGTTAGCTCTGTAAGTAAGGGCTAAAGGGAGAAAAACCCTGGAGACACAGAGCTATGACATGTTTTTAAGTTCATTAAAAATGAACTCTCCATCTGGAATTGGACTGTTGTTTCTTTTTGCCTCTTGCCTCAAGAGAGAACATGATAAAATAAAACCACTCTAAAGCAATCCCCATTAACTCTACTGTGTAAATGAACCATATTTCCTTTTTCAGAGTATAAAGAGACTTTCTTTATTCTTTATCAATAGTATTGAAAATTGCTAATGGAAAACTTAAAGTATTGACTTTCTCAAAGCATATTTTTCCTGAATTGTAAACTTTATCACATAGGGACAATGTCTTGAATTTGGTCCCTATTCTCATTATGGTATTGTGAAAACAAAACAAGGATAGAAATAGAAAAGAAAACCAGGGAAGGAAAAGGGTGTCACAAACAAATTTGGCATTACTTTGTCTTTAGAATCCTATGAAGGTTAAGGAGGATATTGATGGGGATGAATAAATGGAATCAATTTAAAGAATATTCATTAGACCCTGACTGGGAGGCACAGTGCATCAAAAGAAATTTAAAAAGAAATTTAAGGGGCACCTGGGTGGTTTGTCCGTTAAGTGTTGAACTCTAGATTTCAGCTCAGGTCATGATCTCATGGTTTGTGGGATTGAGCCCCAAGTGCGGCTGTGCTGACAGCATAGAGCCTGCTTGAGATTCTCTATCCCTCTTCCTCTGCCCCCCCCCCCATTGTCTATGTCTGGTTATAAAAACAAGATATATGTGAAGCCAGCCAGCAATGCTAGCGTTTGTAGCACTCACTCGAAGCCACCCATCATGTTAATAAGTATTAGGAAATAAGGATAAGCAATAATAGCTCACATTTAATGAATAAGCACTGTGTCCTCAGCTGGTCACTTTTCATGGATCATTTCATTTAATCTTCACAACAATCCTAAAGTAGATACTATCATCCTCATTTTTTTCCAGTGGGTAAATTGACACTTATGTTAAATAACTTGCTGAAGGTCAAATTAACTAGAAGGAATTGTGGTAGGGAAAGGATTTGAACCAAAGTCATGTAATTTCAGAACCAATGAATTAAAAATATATATACATTTTTTGCATTTTATTTATTTGAGAGACAGAGAGAGAGCAGGGGAGTGAGGCAGAGGGAAAGAGAGAAAGAGAGAGAGAGAATCCCAAGCAGGCTCCACAAGAAGCCCGACTTGGGTCTACATCCCATGACTCTGAAATTATGACCTGAGCCAAAATCAAGAGTCAGACACTCAATGAACCTTGCCACTCAGGCACCCCTCAGAACCAATGAATTTAATTACTGTACTCTATAGCTTCCCTAAATTCTTGACATAGAGGAACTCCAGAGTCTTTGGGGAGGGAGGTAACCCTCTGCAAAGATAATTATAGAAGAATACGTTGAGAGCCTTCTGAGAACTATTGAAGTTGTCATGGGACAATGAAAGAGCCTATCAAGTCTGCAAGTCAGAAAAGCTTCACAGAGGCGGTCACATTTGAGCAGGGCCTTTTTTTTTTTTTTTTTTTTTTTTTTTTTTTTTTTTTAATGTTTATTTATTTTGAGAGAGAGAGAGCATGAGCTGGGGAAGGGCAGAGAAGGGGGCGGGGGAGAATCCCAAGCAGGCTCCATGCTGTCAGCACAGACCCAACACGGGGCTCAAAATCATGAACCATGAGATCATGACCTGAACTGAAATGAAGAGTCAGATGCTTAACCGACTGAACCACCCAGGTAACTTTGAGCAGGGTTTTGAAGGATGAGCAGCATTTTACCACAATTTGGTAGCAGAACATCGTTAAGTCCAATAAAATAAAATGAAGTAATAGGGAAAACATTTGGGAAGGTAAGAGTTTTACGCCAAACTTAGAGGAAGTATGTTAAGATTTACATAAAAGTGAAGCGAGAGTTTTGGTGGTGGACATATGCCAATTGCACACAGTGTTCCCTCTGGTTGGAATGCTGCTTCTACCCCTTTTCTGCCTACCCAATTCTTATTTATCTCCTAAGACTAGCCTTCTGTCAATTCCTTTGTGAAACTTCCCAAACTATGTGACCAGTGGGCAAGTTATTTAACCTCTCTGAGTATGAGGAACTCCATTCGAACACTTGTCTCACAGGATAGTCATAAAAATTAGGATTAAGTGTATTTGAAAGTTTTCTGGCACATAGTAAGTGCTCAGTATTTATGAAATGCAAAAAAGGCAGAATTGGCTTGGTATTTAGAAGGCTGAACCCAAGGAAGCTTTGAACTGAAGGACCCATCTGCTTCTGAACCCTTCTTGTTGATATTTGCCTTAAACCATACCAAGGATCTCTAGTTCTCTAGGATTTGCTTTATATATTTTTTATATTATATTGCTATAATTTAATTTGTATTAAATTTCTTGTTTCTTGTACATAATGTTTGTTAGTAGTCTTCCTCCCGCATTCATCCTTAAGCTCCTACAAGGGAAGACCTTGTAATTCTGTTTTGTAAATTTTATACTCAGCGAAATGCCAACTAGTGTGTAACTAATGCACACTATTAATGATGGCTGCATCACAACTATCTGTTGTATGAATGAGTGATGTTCTTTCTGCTCTCTCCTGTTTAGACTCCTCGGCTTTAAGTTCCTGGGACACAAACAAAACAGACTTAAGGCAGAGAATTTGTCTGCTTTCTATTCTTTTCAAAACAAGTGCAGGGGTGCCTGGGTGACTTAGGGGGCTAAGTGTCTGACTTAGGTTCAGGTCATGATCTTACCATTAGTGGGTTCGAGCCCCGCATCCCGCTCTGTGCTGAATGCTTGCTCAGAGCCTGGAGCCTGCTTTAGACTCTTTGCTTCCTTCTCTCTCTGCCCCTCCTCCGCTTGCGCTCTCTCAAAAATAAATAAATGTAAAAAAAATTTTTTTTTCAAAACAAGTTAAAAAGCATTAAGGTTTTCTAGGTGTGATGGCCTTAACAAAGAGTGACATCTGGTGGTTGCTTGTTAGACAAAACAGTAAGTATCTGTTGAAAGTGAATACAAAGTCTAAAATAAATCAGACTCCTATAAATTAAATAAAGTAGAAGAAATAAAAAGAAAACGTATTTAAAATTTCCACCCTAGAAAAGTTAAAAATAAATGCTGGTTGTGGGTTTTCAATTCACTGGACTTTTAAAAGCGGTTGATTCTTTAGAAAACAGTTTTTACAAAAATTGTAACACAGTGAATTGGTGGCGGGAAAAACGAATTGATTTGGTCCGACAAAAGATCCTGACTTGAGATGAGATGCAACTTTATAGGATAAAATAAGACGACTCAAAGGTTTTCCTAATTTGCAAAACCTTTCAGGTTCAGGAAGAATTTATTCACAAGGCAGTACCTTTAAAGTCTGTCGGAAACTGCCTGGGGAATGCAGATATCTGCTGAGGCCGCACCACGTCCCTTGGACAGAAATACTTCCCGAGATCTCAGGACCGCGGAAAGAACTGACTGGGCTCGACTCGCGTGGACTGGCTGGATCGCATGTTCGGCCTCAGATTGGTAGAGCCTGCCCGGACTGCGCGGGTTGGGGGTGAGAGCGGAAGCGCGCTCTTTCAAACTCGCCGTCCTAACGTCGATACACGCAGGCCACTTCCGGCGTAGCCATGGCGGCGAACGCTACCACTAACCCGTCGCAGCTGCTTCCTCTAGGTAATCGTTGTCCTGTATGGAGGGGGACCCGGAGAGCTCAAGCTAAGCATTGGGGGCCGAGGGTCTGCAGCCGAAGTAGCCCTTAGCCGAGTGTTAGGAAATTGTGTTGGAACAACCGCTTTACTTTTCCGGGGCTGGTTTCTAAGCTCCCAAGTCTGCTTTCCCCAACCGCTCAAGCCTTTTAAGCGTGGTAGGAGTTCTTGAGGCGGGAACTTGTGACTCCCCAACCAAACCGTCACCCAAAAAGGTCCACAGTTAGTGAATGTGTCCTCGGCCTTCTTTGTTGTGGGCTCGCCTCTACAGTCATGGGTATCCTACCCACTCCTCAACTTGGTATTTAGGCTCCGGATTAGACCCTGCAGTTAGTCTGGCTAGTTCTTGAGAGAAGCGCTGGCGTCTGGAATGAGCCTAAAAGGGAGATCTGGAAACTAGTTTTGTCACTGAGGCTGTGTGCACTAGACGCAATGGCTGGGCACTGTTCGGCAAATTTAAATCACATCCGTTGGTTTCAGATAGCACATAGCATTGGAAGAGATAGAACACGGGACAAGTAAATAAACATCATGCCAAGTAATGCTAAGTCAGCTAAACTCAACTGCGTCCAGAGCACAGAAATGATGACAGGAAGAAATCTCTGGTAAAGACGGTTGTGCCTCTATCTTCCAGTATTTTGTAGCTAAAGAGTTCATTTGAGTTATCGGAGGTGGCCATGATTTAAAAGTTTTCATTTCTTCATTCGAGAGACTCTTTTTGAATACTTAGTATATGTCAGGCATTGCCCATTGGGGAAATAGACATGCGAAAACGGGGTTTAGACTCTGAGGGGGAGGAGGTTCATAGATTAATCAAACAACCTACAATAACATAAAACCACGACTGTGATAAATTTCAACAAAGGGGAGGTAAGTAGTGAATACAGAAAATTTTTCTGTTGATTATGCAACAGAGCTATGTAGTATAAAATGTACAATTTTGAATGAATACTTTTCCCGGTTTATCTTTCACCGCATGCAAGGAACAAGTCCCAGTAGACAGTTAAATATTTGTTGAAGAAATGGTAAAATAATCTTTTTTTCTCTACCCCCTCTTTTTTTCTTCTTTCTTTTTTTTTTTTTAAATAAAGAACTTGTGGACAAATGTATAGGATCAAGAATTCACATTGTGATGAAGAGTGATAAAGAGATTGTTGGCACGCTTTTGGGATTTGATGACTTTGTCAGTATCCTTTTAAAAGGATGGTGGTGGTGTGGGTTTTTCTTCAGTATTTAAGAACAGAAGTAAGAATATCAACAGTCAATTCTTACTGATTATTATAATAAAAATTTCTTCTCAGGGAACTTGTGATAGTGTTTTAAGAGGTGCATATACTGAAAGAAGGTAAAGTTCCTACCACTGACATGTATTTTGCATTTGAGCTATTGTGTTAAACATTGTAACTAAAACTGAATAAAGGCAGAAGCCAGAGTAAATTCAACCTGGTATATTTATTTCCTTAACACCAAATTTCAGATATGGTACTGGAGGATGTCACTGAGTTGTGAGTAGTGTTAAAAAATTAAAGAATTGGGGGAAATCTTTCTTTAAAGTAATTTTAGTATTAATGAGTTGAAAATGATTTGTGGGAAAACATTGCCTGTTAGAAATACCTTGAAGGTAGAAATTTTGTCTACTGATAAAACTGGATGCTAGTAAAATTGGAACACAGTTATAGCCATGATGTAATTATTAATGAATTGTTAGGAAGTTAATGGAGACAGAGCTTTAAAGTAAAAAATATTCAAAACTGCCAGGAATCTTTGGGCTGAAGCAAATCAAGGTACTGATAATAAGAGCATTTAGCTATGTATAGCATAAAATGTAAATGCTTGTTCCATTATATTAGTTACAAAGATCATGACTAGTAACTGCTTTCAAAATTGAATTGATTAAAGATTTGTTTAACAGATAGGGATTAGTGGTAAGTAATAGTAAAAAAGGGAGGCTAGTAAATATTTCATTTCATATTTGATCTCTTTGGCAAGTTTCAGCTTTTATGAAGGTCAGTCCCAGTGAGTGTGGATCTCAAGCCAGTCAGTTCACTGTGTTGCCTTTGGGGAAGAATGTACATCATTCAGTCAATAACCATTGCCTCTTAAAACTACTGATGTAATTGCTTGACCTCACATTCATTTATATACAGGAAAAACCTTTTTAGGGGTCAAAATGTTGGCTTTGATTATCATTGTTTATCCTGACTCTATTTTATCTCTTCATTTAGTGAAATCACACCAGAAGGAAGAAGGATCACTAAATTAGATCAGATTTTGTTAAATGGAAATAATATAACAATGGTAAGACACAGTAAAGCTGTTTTATTTAGATGTTAGCGCATTTTTGTGGGGCAAGGATTACAGATTACCTTGCTTGATGAGATGTTCATGTCTCAGTGGCGCTTAAGTTGGGAAGGAGATGCTCTCGTGATCAAGGCTCTAAAGCTGAGCTGCTGGAGATGACTTTAGGCTTAAAAGTTAGTTTGCTTGGGCTATTTAATCTTTTAGTTTGCCAAGAATCATTGTTTAGGCTCTGAGTATTAATTGATGATGTTGGGAACTGTAAACAGAAGTGATGACCCGGAGAAAATGGGAATGTGAGGGAGGTGCAGAGAGGCGCAAGTGGCTTGGATTGATGAGGAAGGGTTTTTAGATGGTGCGGGTGGTGGTGTTATTAATAAACTCTTTTTCCTTCTATGCAGCTGGTTCCTGGAGGAGAAGGACCTGAAGTATGAATGGATTTCCTTGACTTAACTCTGTTTAGTTTTATAATGACAACAAAATAGAATTTTTTTTTTAACCTTTTAATGTTTGGATTCTGTAAATCTAAGTTTCCCGTTGAAGGGAAATGTTTTGAAGATGCATTGTAAATGCCCATTTTTGTAAGTTAATCATTATTATCTTGGAAAAAGAAGAACAGTTTGTTCTTTGAAGACGAAAATAAAAATGTTTTTGGTTAATTGTCATTTTATTTTTTGTGCTGCAATAGCCAGTGTAACAAGTATTGTAGTTATTTTGTCACTTGCTTTCCTGTCATTTTATGTCCATTTTCTTACTCAGGTACGTGACCATTTGATTCTCAAAAATTGTTCCGAACAAAATGACACGCTTTGATTTTGAACAGTTGTGTTTGAAAAACCTGAAATGATTACTTACAGAATTCCATTTAAACTCTTGATGCTTTGAAATGATTTTTCTATCGAACTTAAGTTCCATTAACTCCTATTAAAAACAAGCAAACTGGGGCAGGCACCTGGGTGGCTCAGTTGGTTAAGGGTCTGACTCTTGATTTCAGCTCAAGTCATGATCTCATAGTTCCTGAGTTTGAGCCCTGCGTCAGGCTCTGCTCTGATAGGGTGGAGCCTGTTTGGGATTCTCTCTCTTGCTCCCTCTCTCTGCCCCTCATGCATGCGCTCACTCTCAAAAAAACAAAAAACAACCCCCCACACCCCCCCAAAACAAGCAAACTTCTAGTTATAAAATAAATAAGTTACAGAGGTGGAAAGTAACAGCATAGGGAATATTGTCAATAATATAATAACATGATGACAGATGGTGTAGTCACTCATAGTGGTGAGCATAGTGTAATGTTTAGAATTGTTGAACCATTATGTTGTACACCTGAAACTAGTATAACTATTGTATATCAACTATACTTCAATAATAAAAAACAAAATATACAGGTAACATGCACATTGTAGAAATAGAGATAAGTAAAAAGGAAAATATTCATTACGCTTTGCTGTATACCTTCTTAGACTTTCTCAGTACACTCATGCACATTATTTTTACAAAAACGTGCTCATCCTGAATACACCATTCTGTAGCCCCATTTAAGACTTTTTAAAAAAATTTAAGTGGTGCACATCTTTCCATGTCATTTCAGTAACATCAATGTTTGCATTGTATTTCATTAAATGATTTACCATAATTTAGCTGATTTTTATTATTGCCCATAGTAGTCTATATATATTTTTCTTTTCAATTTTTAAAAAAAAATTTCAGTGTTTGTTTTTGAGAGAGAGACAGTGAGTGAGGGAGGGGCAGAGAGAGAGGGAGACACAGCAGGCTCCAGGCTCCAAGCCGTCAGCATAGAGCCCGAAGCAGGGCTCAAAATCATGAGCTTTGAGATCATGACCCGAGCCGAAGTCGGAGGCTCAACTGACTGAGCCACCCAGGTGCCCCTACATTTTTATTTTTCTTAGAAGAAATTCATAATGTGAGGTCAAAGGTTATAGTGTTGCCAACAAAAAGTTTGTACCATCCTACACTTTGCCAGCAGTTTTTCATGGTATTTTTTTCCATAGTACTCTACATACTTACCAATGTTGGCTATGCTCTACCGTCTCGCTTTGCCACTGTGATAGGCAAAACCTAGTATGTTTAAAGTTTTCATTATTAATTTTGAACTCCTTTGTATTTTGTGAATTACTTCTGAGGCTTTTGCCATTGGGATGCTTGTCTTTTTCTTACTAATTTGTAAGAATTGTTAAAGAGTTTACTCTTAAATTTTTTTTTTTCAACGTTTATTTATTTTTTTGGGACAGAGAGAGACAGAGCATGAACGGGGGAGGGGCAGAGAGAGAGGGAGACACAGAATCGGAAACAGGCTCCAGGCTCTGAGCCATCAGCCCAGAGCCTGACGCGGGGCTCGAATTCCCGGACCGCGAAATCGTGACCTGGCTGAAGTCGGACGCTTAACCGACTGCGCCACCCGGGCGCCCCAAGAGTTTACTCTTAGTCATGTATTTTGCAGGTAATTTCCCCGGTTTATAATTTGTCTCTTTTTGGTACTTTTTTTTTTTTTTTTTTTTTTTTTTTTTTGGCGTAAATGTGCTTTTATGTAGTCATGTGTTGATCTCATCCTTTATGATTTTTATCATTGGTACACATGGATTAGAAAGACCCTCTTTGCTATGATTAGATACAGTTTTGTTATTTTTGTTTCATTTAAATCTTGCATCCATCTTCAATTTTAGTGTTTCCACAACAAAAAAGGATCCACCTTTCTTTTTTTTTTTCTTAAAAATTTCTTTTTAACATTTTATTTTTAAGTGATCCTTACACCCAAAGTGGCGCTCGAACTCACAACCCCGAGATCAAGAGTTGCATGCTCCACTGACTGAACCAGGCAGGTGCCCCTCTTTATTTTTCAATCCAAATTTATTTTCCAAAACAAAGCACTGCTTTGTGCCTCCCCCACCCTCACCCGGTATAAATACTCCTACTGTGGCTGATTTCAAGCTGCCAAGGGTTTAACCACAAGCTTGCAAACTTGGATTTAGCAGTTGGTTCTCAGGAGCTACTAGGAGTCTGTTGCCCCACCTCGCCACTTCTGGCCCTTGTTGGGGAATGCTTTTCTCCTGTTATTTTTTCTCTTTGGAGGGGGGTCAAATGTAATAGTGCCCCCTTTTCACCCTTTTATTCACTATCCTATGGGAAATGGGTGGTCATACTCCACTCTTCATTTTTCCCCCCTAAGAATTAGCCTTCAAGGAGCACATGTTCTTAGTTCCAACATGCTAGGAGTTTTAGAGAAGCCTGACCTCACTTAGAGAGGCATACAATTACTTAGTCGGCAAGGTAGATGAGTCTATTTCTGGGGTTCAGTAACAGGAAGTTCACTAGCCTACGGGTAAATGATACTTCTTAATCTAGTCTTAACAGTAATAAAGATGATGGTAGGCCTCCCATCTGCTGCTGTTTTTGTCTTAATGCCGCAATTCGTTTTAGAATGGGTACTACCCTAAATAAGGGTCTCGACATTTTTGGGTAACTCTTAGTTGTAGGGGCTGTCCTGTGTATTGTAGGATCTTTAGCAGCATCCCTGGCTCTATTCACTAGATCCCAGTAGCATCCTTCCTCTTCTTCCCTTTCCCCAGTTGTGACAAAAATGGCTCCAGATGGTGCCAATTGTCATCTGAGAGCAAAATAATCACCCATAGTTAAGAACCACTGTTCTACAATAGAGATACTATTTATTGGGCCCTTTAAAATTCCCTCATGTTTGATGCATGGGTGAGGAGCACTGTGTCTAGACAATAAAATTGGGGAAGAAAATACTGTGAGTATTCCAGTAGAGTAGAATGGTTAGTTTGAAGCTGAAATGTTCTCGTGTTAGGTGTTGGCCATATAGGATTTTCACTTTGGCAGGTTGCTGGTGAGTGGCTGTTTTTACACAGGTGTTGTTTCCTCTCTGGAGGCAGGGCTGCATGTGCTGGGCCCTAAAGTGATGGAGGCCTCAGCAAAAATGAGGGCAGCAAAGGCAGAAGCTATGCTGGCATTGGTGACTTGTGTAAGTTTTTCTCAAATTTTGGTTTGAAAACTGCTATCAGAATCACTTGGAGAGCCAGTAAAGAACACAGAGGTCCAGGCTTATTGAAGTGGGATAGGGCCTTGGGCCTGTGTATTTTTATGGAGTTCCCCAATTCCCCAGCTAATTCTAATCCTCATCAAAGCTTGAGACCCACAGCCTTAGTGTCGTAGACTCTAAAGTTCTCTCTTGTCTAGCAAGAGAGCGAAATGCAAGATGAAAAGCGAGAGATGGCTAATGTCTGGGAACAGACAAGAGCCCCGAATAAGGGTCCTTCCCCCATTTTTATTAGGATCAGAAGGCTTACAAACATGGCGATGGATGTGCACAAAGAGACCATGAATCTGTGAACATTAACTTGTGAACGTGAGGGAAAGGGGTCTTGAAGATATTTGGGGTTAGGGGTTTGGGTTAATACAAAACAAACTCCAGGCACCGGGCAGTTGGGTTGAAGGTTGTTTACAGCAGATATGAGGCAGCACCTCTGTTTATCTTAGCTACCCTAGGGGGATGAGACAGATAGGGGAAATAACCTCAGGGTGAATAAGGCACCTTTTCTTTGGTTAACCATCTCTGCTCTGGGTTGCTTTGCCTGCAGCACAGCGGTACATAGTCCAATTCACCAATTTACCTAATCTGGCCCTATCCTGTGAAAACAGCTTTCTGCTACAGTACTAAATTGGGGGTGCTTCCACCCTGAACATCTAATCTTGTTTATTTCATACACCTCTGTATTGGGCACCTTTGTGCCTGTTCCTATTTTAGGTCTTTGCCTCTCTCTATTCTGGGGGCTCTGCACCCCCTCACTATTTTGGGGTGCCTTTGCACCGCCTATCCTTGGGGTGCCAATCTGGTTTACCCAAACTCAGGTGTGAGCGTTTCATGAATTTGTATTTCTTTATGCCTTGTCAACCCATTGGTGTAAACCTGGGGGGTTCCTAAGCTTATCCCCACACCTTAGAGTGTAGATTGGTGCAGATACAGCTTTTAAAGCAGGTGTGACTAAAGCAAGGATCCGATGATAGAGAATCTGTATATGTTAGTGGTTGTGTTAGTGGAGAGAACAGTTTTTGCTGCATTTAAACTGCCAGGCAGCTAAGTTCCCTGTGTGCTATGGAGTACTGGTGGAGTTCTAGTTTACATTGTTAGTGCCAAGCCTTGGTAGGCAATGATTCATCTGCTGCCTCAAATGTTGGACTTTGGACCAAGGAGGAATTTGTCCATAGGTTTGGGGGTCACTTCCTATCTAGGTGGTCTCAATTTCTTTCTTGAGCATTGATTTGTTGATTACACAAGTTCCAATCATATCTTTAGATTTCAGGGTACAAAACTGCAGCTTCACCCACAGAGGTGTGGTAGATTTCTATCAGTTAAAAAAAAGGGGGGCCCTTATTGTAAAGGAAATATGAGATCTTCTAGGATTGAACGTGAGAAGAATGTTAGTGAAATTATTATAAGTCAAAAGAGGGATGCCTATGCAGGGGGCTTTTTATTTTTCAAATTGTATTTTGTAAAATATACATTGTAAATATACACTTTACAAAACTGTATTTTGTAAAATAAAATCGTATTTTATAAAATATA